GAAAGAAAGGGTGGCATGATGGATGTATTCCCTCCTCAATCAGATTCTGTTTGCGATGAACTTTTTGTAAAGACAGGACCTAAACAGACCTCTGGGGAAAATCACAGAAAGAGAAGGAAAGGTGAGGATAGGGGCAGTATGGATGGATGGATGGATTGTTGGCTGTAGAGTCGACTCGGAGGATAGTGTACCTGAAATTTGAACCGTGACGTTTATGGTGCACTTCGGCTGCAAATGTCATTTAAATCATAAAAAATACAAAAACACATTTAAAACAATCAAATTCGTCAATTTGTGCTCTAGTTTATGAGACCAATTATATGTGAGAACTCTTCATATATGTAAAACACAGTTAAAATGTAATAGCTAATAATGCTGCAAACTGAGGGATGGTTGGTCATTTTGTCATTTCCTTCCTTCCTTAGAGTTAGATGAGAGGAACCATAACACTCATGTCTTTACGCTGAATATAAAGCTGAAGCCAGCAGGTGGTTAACTTAGCTTAGCTCTTGGCATAAAGACTGGTATGCCTTATACTCATATGCCCCGCCCCTTAAAATCAGATTTTTAAGAAGTACAGAGAATTTTTCCACTTTCAATAGTTTAATGTTAAAATGTCCTTCTAGTGTCAAACTCTGCCCAAACATCATTCTGCTACGTGAAGCTCAAGAAAGCAAATACACTTTCACACAACACGTTTCCCAAAATGTTGAATTATTCCTTTAATTAGAGCTTGAAGTAGTCGGAAATAGTAGTAAATCAGTAATTGAATTAGTATCGTCCAAGCAGGGGCATATCTAGAGAATTATTCATGGTTGGCAATAGGGTGACTTTAAGGGGTGGCAGAAATATATGATGATTTAATTACAAACAATCACATATATCAATATTTGCTTGAAAAGGCCCCCAGATGAAGATATTACATTAGATTACATTAGATACATTAGTAAAGCATTGAATAGCAATATCTAAAGGTGGCATTAGAAATGAATAAATAGTTGTTTTTTCCCAAAACCTCAGACATCCAAATACAAAATTAACACAAATTAATGCATTCAATTTGACACCAAACAGGGATTACATCTGGGGCGGGGGGTATGTTTAGGCAGTGATCAGCTGTCTACCATATACTGCATGCTTAGAGTAGGTGTGAGCTGTGGACGAACAGAAGTGCCTGAAATGTGACAGAGCTGTTCGTGCTGTAAAAAGGACATAAAGTTATCTGCTCCGCTCGGATATCAAGATTCCCCTCCATCCCTCCATATCTCTATCTGCTGCTCCTTCACATCTATTTTCAGCTCGACTGTCAATCCAACTGACTCTAAGACTCAAATCTGCTGTCTCTCTTGACACCGTCAAACTGTAATACCTTGTGAGGTGTGTGTGTGTGTGTGTGTGTGTTGTGTGTGTGTGGGTGGTGTGTGTGTGTGCTGTGTGGTGTGTGTGTGTGTGTGTTGGTGTGTGGTGTGTGTGTGGCCTGTGTGTGAGCATAGAGAACCAGGCCTGGGCTCGGGTGATATTCTGTGCTTTTCCTCTTTTCCATAATGGACTAGGAAGTGTAGGAAAGACAGAATGTGCACATAATGGTCCTCTACATCTGTACACATACCATTTAGCCCAAACTCATGGGATGTGATAATATATGTTTGTTGTTACTTTCTAAACTGGCTTCCCCTGCAGTGCCCTGCAGGTGTGATATCTAAAGCATCCACAACACCGGCACCTGCATTTCCCTCCTTCTGATGGCTGATACAGTGATACATTTCCATCAGAGTGACATAAATATGCTCTTATTTTTGGATGTCACTCAGTAGAGATTTCCGACCAGTGGTTTCCACGTGTGTACCGTGAAGAGTCATTTGTATTTTGTAGGTATGAGCCCTCATTACAGCCAAACACTGCAGAGGTGATTTCAGTGATTAGCACGCCTTCAGGTCAAATCAAGTCAAATGAATTTGTACAGCCTTTAATCACTTTAATAGGCCCAAATGGCACCACAAGGCCACATTTAACGACGTAAAAATAGAATGAAGAATAACTCCAGTTTATTAAATATTTGGTCTTGTAGCGATGCTAGTGGCGGGGCTCTAAGGATGGCAATGTCAGTCCACCAGTTGGGCTTCAGACGATATATCTCAGTCAAAACTATTACATGTATGGCCATGAAATTAATTTGAAATCTTACAATTCATGTCTCCTTCAGGATGAATTGTTATAAATGTTCCTCTGACATTTCCTCTAGCACCAACAGCAGGTCAAAATGTCCATGTCTAATACTTTGGTTCATGACCAAAATAAGTTGTGTTTAGTTCTAATTAGCAAAGGTTACCATGCTAACAAACAACGCTCAGCATGTTTAATACAATAAACATAACACCTGTCAGCTTTGTCATTGTGAGCATGTTAGCATGTAGCTCAAAACACCACCAAGTGGCTGTAGACTCTTAGTTTGAATGAATGAATGAATGAATGAATGAATGAATGGATATTTTATATTCGTAACTGGTCATTTACATGATCCATCACTTATAGGATTATTCAGTCACCTTAACTAGCAACAAAGCAAACATTCTGACATGTTAATCCATCACCATCTAAGAGCACAGTAAATAAACATAATACCATAAATAATATCCAAACATAAATATAAACCTCCCACAAATAACACTCCAGGAGGAAGGTTGTAGATAAAAATACAACACATACACAAACATACATAACTGAACCAATTCTGGCTTTTCCACATTTATTCTACTACAACAAAAGAATGAATGTTGTTTTCCCTTATAATAGTTATAGTATAATAGTTGACAATTAATTTGCTGTTCATCCACTAATCGTTTCTGTTCTATCTGTAAGAGAAATGAATACCCAAACGATCTGTTTTATACATCCAAATTGGATCTACTGTGCTTGCTGTTGTTGTGTGCACGCAGGTTTTTCGTGTCCACTTTCTGACATTCACTTTTGCTTTTTAGTCTTTCTAAACACTTGTCCGTGTCATCATCTTACCATTGTGTTTCTTGCCTTGCCTTGACTTTATTGTTGTCTTGTCAAAGTGTTCCCAGATGTCAGGAGATACTTTGTTGAGTACAATATCATCATAACCAATGTAGGAGTGATGGCCAAAACTTAGAGATCAACAATTTGATCATATTTTGTCCGTACTTCTGAGAAATTTGTGTTCCTTCATCTGTAAACTTTGAAATCAGCTTTGTGAAATATTGAGTTTTAAAATAGGTCAGTGTTCACTGCTGCTCAAGAAATCCCATGTAGAGCAGTTTTGTTCTCTGGGCGTCTTTGAGGCACCAAAATCAAAAGTTTGAAGCTAAAGTGTTAAGTTGTTTTGAAGTGTCTTTCCTTGGTTCTAGTGTGCACTTGGCTCTTGGAAACAGTTGGTGCACTTAAAAATGTATGTATCCGATGCTTTCAGTGCAGTCCTTTCTCCTCTCCAGCTCTCACCCTCCATCTTTCTCCATCATATATTTTCCACACTTCCAAGCCCTCCCTTCTCTCTTGTCTTTCTTTCCCTTAATTCTCATTATAACCGGATGAACTCCTCTGTCTCAAGACTCAAATATGTTCCTGTTTTGTCTCTGTATGATTCATCTGGTCCCGTCTGTCAATGGAAGAGATAAATTAAGCTATTAGTCATGCGTGACATACTGTTTCTCTACAACTGTAAGTATATTTCAACTCTCTCTGTTTCCCTTTAATATCAAGGCAGCCATGAACTTGTATTGTATTTAAATTGTAAATGCATCCAGATTCAGAAACCATGAATGTGCTTTTTCAGATCTGCTCACAATACTACAAGGTAAAAGTGGAAAACATGATTCAACCTGAGGATAATGTCATTGTCAATGACAACCGCTGAACATCTCATAGCTCTCATGTGAGACGTTCAGGTTCACTAATATTCGTGAGTAAAGAGATTTTTTTTTTCTGAATTGTCCTTCAAGGAGAGAAAAATAGAGCAACGCCAGCACAGAGATGAGAGATTCCAGAGTTGAGGGAGAGAAATTCATCCGGGTCTGCTCCCCTTCTCTACTACAGAATAGAAGACATGAGCTCCACATTTATAATTGATCTGCCTCAGCTCCAGAAATACCCTGACAGAGACTCGCTGTTGTCCGTGTGTGTGTGCACACATATAGTTGTGCAAGTGCAAACTTAATAATAGAGACAGCAAACAGGTGAGAGGATGCAGGATAGATGGGCTGAGTCACAGAGAGAAGCAGAAAGACGGCCTCTCAACCCCAGCACTCACTGAACCTCGCTTCCCCATGGCCTATAAACCACTCACAGAAGCCCCAACAGCTATTAGCTGTTTGAATTTGCATGCGATTCATTGATGTAAAGAGGCGGAAGATGGGATTAAAATATTACGTAAAGGACTGTTTATGGCTGTATGAACATGTGTTCAGAATTATTTTGGTAACTGAGAAAACTGCAAAGAACTGCAGATGAAGAAGAGAATAGCTTGTGTGTGTGTGGTGTGTGATGATAGATAATAGAATATTTAGAAAAAATGTGTGTGTGTAAGCATGTGTGTAAGCGTGTGTGTAAGCGTGTGTGTAAGCCATGGGACTGATGGTCAGCCACAGGGCCAACACAAGATTTGACCACTCTGACCTCATCAGGTTTCTTCAAGCGTGGAACATTATAATCCCGCAAAGCCTCCAAATACTGCTGCTGCAGCAGGAAGCTACAATGCCTCTTGTTTCCACAGACCACTGCCACTGGTAAATCTCCAAATCTACCAGTCACTGTTTTATCAGCCAGTGGGTGTTTAGAGTATAATAGGTCTGCTGAATGGTAGCTCGTTACCTGGCAGACAGACTGGTTGCATATTTGCCAAAGTTCTGGCTGTTACTTCTGGCACATATCCACAGGATGGAAAAAAAAAATGCAATCACAGTTAAAAGTGAAAGTAAGTTTCTCCTGACTCTTATCACCAAATGTGTGTTTACTCTTTCTCCTCTCTTTTTCCCCCCCAGGAGAAAGCTTCCTCCTGCGATTCAGAGCTCCTCTCACTGCTCCTGGATGCCGGGCTCCTGGTGGGCTGCGTCTCCTCAGCCCTGTACCCCCTGCTCAGCTCCCACATGCTATCCCACCAGCAGGAGGGAGGCTGGGACGTTGAGAAAGCCGCCGCTGAGCTGCTGGCGGCAGGCCACGGGCCCGAAGCGGGCTCCCTGCTGCTGGCTCACCGCGGAACCCACCAGGCGCAGTTCACCTTCAACTCTGCCTTGGCCGTTCTCAAGAAGTGGCTGTGAGGGGAGGAAGAACAAGGTGTGAGGGAAAGAACGTGACGTGGAGGCAGTTTGGAGCGTAGCCACGGACCGCGGTGATAAAGCAGATTTAGAGAAGAAGAGTGGGAAGGTGTTGAGAGAGGAGTGGAATGAGATTGGATTGAGATCTGAAGAAATTAGTGCAAGGCAGGAATAGAAGTGATATCAGGCCATACTTCTGCATTTTGTTCTGTAATTGGGTTTCGGGTTCATCAACTGAAGACACAGCAGCTGCAGTGTCTGCCTTGAAGGTATAAGAGCGGATACCTTTAATACTGAAACATCTGCTCAATTAGAAACACAGAAACACACAAACACAACCGCTTCTGTCTCTCAGTCATGAATGAATGTTCAGACTGAGGGCTGATCACAAAATTCACTTGCTGCTTGCATTTATTTGTGTGTGTGGTTGTGTACCATGTCCTATTGTGTGATAAAGTAATTGAGCAGTAGCTGGGAAGCAGTGGGTGGATATTAGCCTATTGTTCCGTGACAGGTTTGCCTCTTTGACGTCCCACCGTTAAACACCCTGCCTCTGCTCCATTGTTTTCTCCCTAATAATGTCTAATTAATTCCTTCTAAACAAATTAGCCCCACAGCTGCCCCGCGCTGTGTGTGTGTGTGTGTGTGTGTATGTATGCACATCTACTGTATACGAACACCCAGCGATATCATGTGGAGCTAATGAAGATGAGGAATAAACATGTATGTGTGTGGTTACGCACACAGTGACGTTGCCGGCATGTTTCACTTTATGAAATACAGGTTTTCTTGTGTCCCACCTTTCTGAGCTGAAATAAAGAGATGTATTGACATGAGAATGAGTCCTCGTGTTTTAATTTTAGTCGTTTCTTTATAATGGCGCTGGTGGTGAATTCCACAGTTGGGTAACATTTAAGTCTTTGCAATCTTCTTTATTCTTTTTGTCCAAAAAGATTTTTCAAAGTCGACCTCCGTTAACATTTCAGTGAGTTTTACTTTTCTTTTTAATGAATGGGTTTTACAGAGATTTGCGTTCCATCTCATAATGAATGCACTCAAAACATTTGCATTATAATTACAGCATTTCCACATTGTTCCAAGATAATTACAGCCCTCTGACCCAAACATCCAGTGTGCCCTCAAATGCACTTTTAGTTTTTCTGCACAATGATTTTAAAGCAGTTTTGTAAAGTGTTTACATTGGTCAGCATTCATAACTCCATAGAGGGATTGGAGTGACCAACTGCTTTCACCTTTGGTCCGAATGGGCTGTTACCAAATACACAAATTTTTCTACTGATTGCAAACGGGCAAAAATTATTTTTTGAGAAGTTGGTTGCAGGCGAAAGGAGAGAAAAATAATTTTCTAATTTATCTTGTTTGTACAAGATAAATTAGATAAATTGTTCATTGTTAGAAGTGTGTTTTTCAGACTGTGTGTTCAGAATAAAACTAATGAAGTGCTGGTGACTGCAGGTCCCCAGAGCTGCCAGTTTTGTTTTGTATGTGCACTAAAAAAAAAAAAAATCTGCCCTATCAAAGTAAAACATCACTTTAATAAACAGTAGGTGGGAATACAGGGTTTGGATGGTGATTAAGCAAGAAAGAGCCACTTTTTCCTCAGAATTTTTTGAGCTCAGAAACATTTTAATTTCATTTTTCTTTTTTTTTCACATCTGCAACGTGCTGTAGTTAATTATCCAGATGCATCTTGTTGAAAACTAGCTATAACCGTTCTTGATGGCTACCTTATGGAATTGTGGCACCAGTGGCTTCAAGGCCCATTTAAATCTGCTCAGGCAGTAATAAGCAGATCATGTTTCCATATTTGCTCGTTAACTTTCTCCTGCTGTACTTAATCCCTTAATTTAATGAATAAACTTCATAATGATTTCAGCATGGCTTTTTCTGTAAAGACTAAAGACTTTTTTCTGTTACATCCAAGGACTAAATAGAAGTTAATTTCTTTTTATTCCCCACGGTTAAATTGCTATTATATATATTTAGTTTGAGATCCCCTTATCTTTTTGCCCCATGAGGGCACAGTGGGTTTTCCCTGCCTCACCCCTCTGTCATTGGCAATACTTTTAGGATAACTAAAATAAGAATATAAATGTTTTCAATATTGTGAAATATTCAACAGTAATTTACTTTGGCAGGCAACATTTAAAACAGCTGCTAGAGCAGAGCAGCTTGCGTCAGGCCAGAAATTGAATAAAGGGCTGTTGCTCGGAGGTATTTACCCTGACAGCAATATTGCTGTGTTTCAGGCCCATATATAAGATCGGGATGGGGTGGGTGGTCTATATATCAAACTAGAGAGTAGTGAATCTCCCCACCTGTGGAGGGGTAGAGGAAAATGAGACAATACTTCTCTCAGTGATATATGAAAATCCAACCAGACACAAAGCTATCAGAAGGGCTTTTTGCAGGCTGGCTAACACTTAAGGAAGTGTCAACATTATACCATAAGAGGAAAAAACACTGTAAAGATTAATGGGTCAATTTCACAGGCCTCCACTCCTTCACTCATATGTCTGCCATTTAGTGCTATTCTAAGCCAGTGTCAGACATTGATACTTATAAAGATGACTGGGCTTTGCAGTCTTAAGAAAATCCACTGATGCTCATTCCCTTGTGTCAGACATGTTATCTCAACTCTGCAAAATGAATTAAATTGGTCTCAGATAGTAATCGATCCAAGTTTGGACATACCCTTGGGCTACAGCGGGAGTCCGTTTTTAGCCCTGGCCAGCATAAAATCATAAAATCTCTTTGTGCTAAACTAACAAGATTACATGAAGCCTCATTGTAATCAATCTGAGCTGTGGAATCCTCCAGTCATCAGGTTGATCGAATCAACACCAGCAGGCTCAGACCTTTGGCTTTCAACACCGCAACAAAGTGGTAGATTTCAGATAATGTTTGAGCAAAAAAAGACTGTGTCAGGCTAACGTTCGGCCAAAAGTACCTGACAGACAAGTAATTATACACCTGTGTGTAAGAGAGTGGCACTGAGAACAGCCATTTAGGTAAATCAAAAGAATGAAAATACGTTGAAATCTGAACCCTAAAGGAGGTGAGGTGAGGCTGGTAGAACATTAAGACAGAATTTGATTAACATATTGATAACAGAGGGAGAGAGAGAAAGAGATGAGATAGCTATAAAAGGCAAGGAGACAGGGGAAAATGAGGAGCAAGTGGATTATCACTGCAGTATTTTTTTGGCACAGTGTTTTGACCCGTTGATCCCGATAAACCCAGGGGACCACTGTTTTGCGTGTTTGCTTAAAATACTCACACACACACACACACACACACACAAACACACGCACACACAAACAAACCTGAAATGCCAAACAGCCTCTCAGTCATGTCCACACAGCATTTGCATCTTATTTCTCAGCACACTTTCAGCAAGGACACAAGGGGGAAAGAAATCAACCAAGGAAAGTTTGGCACACATTTTCTATATGATTACGCCTTGCACATGTACTTTCTATGTGTATTATGACAGGAGTGTCGATTAGTGACGATCCCTAAAAGAAAAATCACCTGATTCTGCAGTTCACCTCAGCTGTTTTAGCATCTTTAAGCTCATTGTTTCGGTTTTCAACCGCAGCAAGCAACTGTTTTCAGCAAAAAAAAAATTAAGATGTTAATATTTACTGTATGCTACCTGCCTAGGACCAAAAGGCAGAGATAAAGTTAGCACCAAACTGGAGAAGAAAGTACAGCATTTGGCAGCTAAAGAACTAAAAGTTTTTCTTAGAAATTTGTGGAACAACCACGCTAAAAGGAGAGCGAATTTGCCAGGTACCAGAAACACAACTATAAAAGAATGGCAATGTTGCTTTGTGTCTGCAGGATGTATCATATATATTAACTTTATAAGGTGATAATATTTCAGTACTGCCCCCAAGTGGCCAAAAAATCCGTCTTTACAGGTTTAACCAAGCAGATTTTGCCATCATTTTGTTGCTGTCCGAATTTCAAAACTATTTTTTTCTTTGTTGCTATCAGCTAACATTTTTGTGTGAGAATTAGCAATCTCCACCCCTCCAGTTTTCATCAGAACTAGCTGTGTAACAGGTCCATCCATTAAGCTAATCAGGAATCCCACTATAGATAACATCCATCCAGATTTCCAGCCATGCTCAGTGTTCTTAAGATCTTTACCTCCAACACTGTATAGTATGTTCTGATACAGCTCATGGTGACTGATGATTGATTTCCCAATTATTATCTCCTGATTGTAAGTATTGTGGGTAAAACATGATCTGGTGCATTTGTTTGATCTTGTAAGGTCTTAAATGTGTGATGGGAATGTTTTTGTGTGTTCAAATACAAGTTTGATGAGAGTTTCCTAAACCTTTCTTCAAAATAGACTTGTCCACTTTCATTATGTTCCCTAACACCCTATACATCTCTTTTGAATATTAAAACCACCAACATTTTTTCTGCAGAAACTCTATTATGCATATTATGCATAATATTCATGCTTTTAAGAACTCCTAAAAAGTTGATGCTGACAAAGCCATGCTGAGGATTAAAGGGCTCCTGCCTGTTTGGATCTAAGTCTTCCAAGTTCCCTTTCAGCTTGCACCACCCTTTCATGATAACTGAAAAAAAATTTCACTTTTATTGACTTTAACCTTAATTTATCATTCAGTCTGACCTCTTTACTAACACATTCCTCATTCACATGGAGTAGTGCTTAACATGAGCTACATGAACACACAGATATAGCATGAAAATGGGCAGGAAATATTCACTTCTGCTAATATAAAGGCAGGATTCACAGGTAAGATTAGTGATGAGAATTGCAATTTACAAGGGCTGGCTTTTTAATGGAGTTAAATAGTGAGATGCTTTTCTACAACAAGTCTTTTGGGCTTTGCTTGTGTGCACAGACAGACTCCAAGCAACTCTGGGACTTGTTGTTAAGGTCTACCTCCCCTACTGCTGGGGTTTGGTAAACAGTGTCACAACCTGTCAAGTGTCAGCATCCTTTTTTTTAATCTGTTTGACAAAGCTCTCAGAGCAGACAGTGAGCCATCATCGCAATCCATCCAGAAGGTGAGAGGGGGGGAAAGGAGAAAAAGAATTTGTGTCCCCCCAGGGGGAAGCTGAATGAGAGAGGATGTTACAAACTCTCTCCTCTGCTGAAGAGAGGTTTTCTCTTTGAAACAAGGCATTTAGCTTGCGCCTATGAGTCCTCTCCAGAGTCTACAATATGAGAGAAAGAGAATAGAAAACATGAAAGGAGAGAAAAGGAGTAAAAAATAGTTTGCATTCCAGGAAATCCCTCACACGCCTTCCACCTTGTCAACAGACTGAATTCTGGGAAATCGTTCACCCTCCGAGGCCATGTTTGTTTCCTTTACCTCTCTATTTTTCATCCATCCTGTCTTACCTGTCTTTGACCTGCAGCCTTACCCTCCACAGAGTGACTGTGTCTGTCTAGTAAATCCTCTACTTGTAGCGCCCTGAAATACACACACGCATGCATACAAAACAAAACCCTTCTAACAGATACTTTAGGAGTAAGACAGATTTTAAAAAGAGAGTCTTAGTATTGAATATAAAGAATGTAATAAAACGAATGAGGTGGGAAGTCAGAAAAGCAAGGGAGATGGGAAATTACTGAAGGTCAAACATTATGATGACTGAAGAGAAAGAAGAGCGAGAATTAGAAGGTCCTGACTGACGATAGTACTGCAGGATTTGTATCACATGGGAGGGCTTTAGTAAAACAGAATAACATAGAAGGAGAGAACAAGGACGTTGGACCAACATTATCGCTGTTACCTTTTTCACTGCAGTGCTAATAGAG